CCCGCCGCGAGTGAGGCCATAGGCCCCAGGAATGTGAGGCTGTGCCTGCTGGTGCCCGCCAGGGGGCGCGCTGCACCAAGTCGAACTCCTGGCGGGCGTGCACTCCTGGGCCGGCCTGCCGCAGCCCCTCCTGGCAGAGGTGAGCCTGGCGGGGCAAGACTTCCTCAGGCGGGGCAGCCGCAGGCTCTTACCAGGCCAAGGACCGCCAGCAACGCAGCGTCCCCAGAGGCACTGAGGAGCCAGGGAGCCTGCATCTGACTGATGATGTTGGGCCGGGACAGCTTCCTCCTGGTCCTGCCCGCCTCCCCTGCCCGCTCGTCACATGGGGGGGCCGGGGGCAGGGCCAAGGCCACGGCCATGGCCACAGGGTGAGCAGCGGGGGCAGGGAGCCCGAGCGCTCCCTCCAGGCGGTGCCAGAGGAAGGATCCCAAGCAGGCGCCAGGGCGGCGGAGACGGAGGTGTCCGGCCCGGGTCCCAGGTGAGCAGACCCCAGCCGGCAGCACCCAGGCAGCTTTCCTGGACGTCTGCCTGCCTGGGCCCGGATGCCCGCCGGGTGGTGGGTGCTCGTTCTCACGGCTCACATGCAGGCGCAGCCCCAGGCTGCCGGGGATGAGCGAGGGGCCACAAGGTGAACGTGTGCCCAGGCCAGTGCAGGACAGCGGGGCCATTCGGCCGCCCTAGAGGATGGGGGAGCAGCGAGGGCCCGAGCGCCGTGGGTCTGAATGTCCCATCTCCACCACGTTCAATTGCGATGGGGTGACTCACAAGTCCACCTCGGCGTACTGTCAGGTTCATGTATCTGCTCCACAGTCGGCGCCTACTGAGTGCCGGTTGTCGTTATTTATAACGTTTGCCGGTCGGGGCATGCCCCGTGCGGGGCATCCTGGCCTGAGTCCAGGAGGACCCGGTGCTCCCAGCACCTTCTCCCACAATGAGCCGGTTGGCCGTGTGGCCGGAACCAACCAAACCGTTCCTGGCTGAGTCATCCCCCAGCTCCCCTGGACTGCCTTGTGCTGTGCTGCTCAGCAAGGGGGTGGGGTAGGGGCAGTGCCCCAGCTGTACTGAGCTTACCTGGGATGTGGCCTGCCCTTGAACACTGCTGCCAAGAATGATGGGTGAGGGGAAGGAAAGGACTAGGCTGGGTACTTGGAGAGCAGTTCTCCTGTCCCCTCTGCCCCTGAGATTGCTTCCCCTCTCCCCGAGGCTGGCAGGCAAGGCCCACCTTATCTGCCCTTCCACCCGTGTTTCCCCCAAAGCAATCGCCCACGCCCTGGAACCTTGGCATCCTCACTGCAGGCTGAGGTCTGTGAAGGTCACTCCCCTAACCAGAGCCCTCCTGGTATAATCATGCCCCCCACCCAACACACACACACACCCCTGATGTAGATAGGGGCCAGTGAGGGGAGAGACCTGCTCAGGGCACATGGCACAGCCAGGACAGAGGCTTAGCACACTGGAGGGCCTCTTTGCTCTGTGATAGCAGAGCTGAGATTGGGTCCTACATCTGGCCAGGAGAAAGGTAGGGGCGAGAAAGAAACTAAGGGTGATCAGCATGTTCAAGGGGAAGAACTAACATTTTACTCACCCTCTCTCTCTTTCTCCGCCCCCCACCCCTCACACACACACACACATACACATACATGAGGTCAGTCTCATCTATTCTATCCCTCAGCAATCTGCAGTAGTCACTGTATTTGGAGCCCCTCTCCCCACATTGGTCACAGTGCCCTGGCATGTATTCTAGCATCTGTCCCTTTCCTATACCAGCCCAGGTACCTTGTGAAAGCCAAGTCCACCCAGCTCCTGGGATGAGACCAGGTTGGTTTAGCCAATAGGTACATCTCATTCCCCAGCCATGGGGACTAATTCAAGGATGAATTTGATTGCCCAGTCAAGGCCATGAGGCAAGAGATGTTTGGGAAAGCAGGGAAGGGAAGCTTCCCAGCATTTCAAAGAGAGACACCAAAAGGTATGTTCTCTCTTCCTGTTAGACATGAAGGAGAAAATATTAGCTCCTAAAGCTGGTACCCAGCGTTTTTAATAATTAGGAAACTTTGGTGTTTCCTAATTGGTGTGGATGAAACAGATACCCCAGGAAACAAACAGGGGAACTTGAGGGTGGGAGGGAACCAGACTTGGTTGACATTATCAAGCTGCTGGATCCAACCAGGCCTGAAGTCCATGTTATAAGGTCTTTCCCACTAAAGGAGCCAATAAATCTGCCCTTATGTCTTAAGCCAATTTTAATTGTTGTTTTTGTTTCCAACGACTGCAAGTTTCTTACTTGATTATTTTCTTTTGACCAAAGATAATAATGGATACTCAGAAGGTATAAATATAAGGTTGCCAGATAAAATATGGGACACTCCATTAAATCTGAATTTCAGACCAACAATGAATACCTTTAATACTATAAAAGTAGATATTATGTCCCATGCAATTTTTGGAACCTACTTACACTAAAAATATAACTGGGCATTCTGTATTTTTATTTGCTAAATCTGGTAACCCTATTTCAGTAGCATGTCCAAATTCATACTACTAGAAAAAGAAAAAACCTGGACACAGACCCAGAGTTTTTAATTCTAAAGCCCCTATTACACCAGGTCATGCAAAGGGCTTCTTCCTGTCACTCTTCATTCCCCTCTGTCACCCTCCCAGTCCTGTGTGCTAAAAGAACACAAAGAAATGTCACTCTGGGTCCCTGAGGGTCTCCGGGGTGGGTCCCAGCTCCAGAGTTCTCTGCTTGCCACTCTGCTCCTGTAGCTCCTTGGCTGGGCTCCACCCCAGCCTCGGGTTTGGGGCTTTGCTGCTCTCTTCAAGCAGTGTGGCTTCGTGGCTGCCAGCTGCTCCCGGTCCCTCCTCACAGGCACCACTTGGCAATTCCTCTGTACGGTCCCTATGCTCCCCTTAGAGAATGACAGCAGCTGGAACTATCCGCAGATGGCCACGACTGGAGCATGATGGCACTGTCCCGATGCAGCCTACTGACAGTGCTATCTGGCAGCCCACAGCCCTGCCTCCACCTCCTGTGTCCGTGATGGCCCAACTCCCTGCTTTCCGGCATCCTGCGGGTGGAAGGGATCTGCCCACAATGAATGCGGGCCACGCTTGTTTTATCTGCATGACAGGGACTGGTTCTGTGATCACAAACACGATACAAGCGCAACCCTGCAGAGGCAGGAGAGCAAAGGAGACAAGAAGGGGGTTAGGGAGAACATTCTGGTAGCTGTCCTTCTAGGGGTTGCTCCTCGCCCCTGTAAACTCCATATGTATTTCATTTTATTTTTTTATTTTTTAAAATTGGCATCCAAATTAGTTGGCATATAGTGCAATAATGATTTCAGGAGTAGATTCCTTAGTGCCCCTTGCCCATGTAGCCCATCCCCCTCCCACAACCCCTCCAGCAACCCTCATAAATATGGAGAATAAACTCCGTATGTATGTAAATGGGATCACAACGCCCCTTGGAACTGCCTTTCCCTGAGATGGCCAAGACCACTGTGTCAGTGATGTCGATGGCTGCCTGAATGCCACTTGGCTGTTTTGTAATTGGGATTTTCTTTTCGATTTTCCACAAACGTAAACCATGCAGTGAAGCTGCTGAACAAAAACTGAACAAAAGCACAGAGCTGAGGATCTGCCACTGGGTGCTTTGGGGGTTTGTCTCTCCGACTGGGCACGAGGACCACGTCCTCAGTCTCCCCACGAACAGGACTGTGGTGCGCACCAGATGAGAGCCACACTGCGTACCTGCAGGTTGCTGTTTGTAGCATTTTCTAGGCTGCGTGAAAAAACACAGCTCCTTTTGAATCCAGGTCAGCTGATGGAAAAGATCGAGCAAAGCATCTGACGTGTGAAGGGCTTTGCTATTTTACTGCCATCATCTTGTTGATGCTCCGCTTGCCCTGAGGGGTAGTTGTCATTATTGTTCCCATTTTACAGACTTGAGGAACTAACACCCACAAGGTCCCGTGACTTGCCCAAGGCCATTCCAAGATCCCTGGGTACACTCGTATTTAAGGGACTAATTCCTCACAGCAAGGGTTCTTGTTTGAAATCCAAGAAAACACCAGATAAAGGGCATTCTAAATATATTTCTTTTCTATAGATGCTGATCTCCTGTTACTGGAAAACAGGAATTAGCTTGTCTGCTTGAGGATGTGGTTGGTTCTTTATAAAAAGGATATACAAGAAATTTGCACATAGACTGCCAGCTTCATTATGCTGCCGACAGCTTCCAGCAAAAGAACATTTGCAGCCAGATATTTCGGTAAGAATTTTATTCTATTCTATGTGGAGTATGATTACCTTTGCTCTGGGCTTCATGTTTGAGAGATAGGGGTCACTTGAGGCTGAGAGATGGGGTCACTCGAGGAGCTGTCTTGGCCTCATGGGCTGCAAGTATCTAGGAGCATCTGTGGTCGAGGGTTGGACACCGGCTGATGGCACAGCCCTCACCCCTGAACTTGGGAGCTGTTCTGTGTCTGCCTGAAACACAGAGCCTTCAACATGACCATTATTGTTGGAGGGATTTGACTCCAGTGACTCAAAGCTCTGTTGACATTCAGAATCTGTAAGGACCACGGTGCCCAAAGACGGAGGGGGCAAAAGGCAGGTCCTTCACAGGGAAAGCTGTGCATTCTGCTTGGAAGCCATCCAGCCAAGCAGTTAATTCAGAAACGATGAGATGGTTCAGTAGCCCCCATTAAAGTGGCAGGAGGTGACTTAGGCCAAGTGAAACAACCCTTGGGGGGGGGGGTCACATGCAGGTGCTGTGTGGGTGGTCGTGCAGATGCTTCTTGGGGGGATCACACGGGTGCTGGTTGGGTCGCTGTGCAATGGTGTTCCATGTTCTCTGGACCTGGACACCTTCATCAGATGGTGCTTGAAATCCCAGATACTAGAGGCAGAAATGCAGACAGTGGCCTTCAACCTTGCTGTATGTTAGACTCATGAAGGAGCTTTTAAAAATCCACAGGTATTTTTAAATACTCGGAGACTGGTCTGTAGTGGGTTCCAGACATCAGCGTATTTTTTAATTCCCAGGTGAAACTCATAAGCAGCCAGGGCCAAGGAACCACCAGACCGAAGCTTGGGAGGCCTCAGACCGTACACAGCGGCCCTTGCGGGGGTCTGAGTGGATATTTGTAGGGATGAGGAGTCGAGCTCTGTGGTCACAAAGCCAGGTCGCCTGGATCTGACTCTGGGCTGGACGCGTGCTACGGGACACTTCTCATAATGTTTAACATCCTGCGTCTGTCTCCCTTTCTACAATAGGGGTGGGAAACAGCTGAAATTAGCCCTTCATTCTGTTTGGTTCTAACGCATTAGGGGGCTGTAAAATCTCCAGGTATTTTCCTCTCAGCTGGGTTTATAGCATCATCTGATTAGAAAGGAAAAGTCACTTGCTTTTGTGCAAGGTTCTGGCCACGAGATTTTCACAGCATAGCAGATACGCACCCCCCAGCTTCAGAGTAGAGATGATAATTCTTTGGGGGGAAAAAATGAGATATTGCACGAGATACCTGAATTTAAAGAAGCTGATGGAACTAAATTTTTAATGGCAATGAAATTCACACAACAAAATTAACCATTTTAAACCGAACAGTTAATTCAGTGGTGATTCACACATTCACAACGTTGTGCAGCTTTCACCTCTCTCCAGTTCCAAAGCATTTTCACCACCCAAAAAAAAAACCCCATACCGGCTAAGCAGAGGCTCCCCACCTCCCCCAGCCCTGGCAACCATTGATCCGCTCTCTATCTCTAGGACTTCCCAATTCTGGATATTTCATATAAATGCAATCATAGAACATGTGTCCTTTTGTGTCTAGAGTGATGTTTTTGAGATGGATCACATGGGAACACATATCAGTACTTCATTCCTTTAGACTTAATTTTAAAATCATTATGTGGCCACCAACAGCTCGGCAGCTTTATAAAAAACGGGCCAGCCATGCTGTTCCGTAGAAGGCTTCTGAAAAAGAGGAAAGTTGGGCAGTACAGAGGAAGCAGTGTCTTCTCATCCTTGGTCTCTCTGGGTCCACCCTTCTGTCTCTCTCCCTTTCTGTTTCTCTTTCTGTCTCTCTCTGTCTCTCTGTCTCTCTCTCTGACTCTCCCCCTTCTCTCTACTCTCTCTCTCACCATAGATTCTGGAGGAGCCCATTTGGGAGCGGGAGCTTGCTTTTAACTGAAATTAAATTGGGAGACTGGGGGGCAAATGGAAGATCCTTTGGGGTAAAGTTGTGCTGCTGTACATTTCTTCACTCTGCCCAGAGTTTTGTCAGGTCAAGGACCTGCCATATACCAGGAAACCAGAGGCCAGCCAGTACGTTGGTCTCCCACTTGGGGAGACCTGTCACCCAGCCATAAGTACCGCCCTCGGCTCCGCCACTTGTGTTTCCTGTGACATGACCCTGCCCGTTCTCACCACCTGCAGCCTCTTTGCTCCCCAGCTTCCCACACTGCTGCCCACTGGTCTGCCCAGTTCTGTCCCACAGACTGCTGGATTCCCCCAGTTAGCTGACACCCCCCTGGTTCCTCCCCATGGCGGGTCCAAATCACGGTGGGCAGAAAGATGATAACCTCTGCCCATGCTGAGCCAGAGAGTCCAGAAGGAAAGGGAAGGCTGCTCTGAGTCTGGTCATCCCTTCAGGATCCCAGCTCCTTGGCCCACAACCTAACCTTCAGGACCAAGATCAGGGAGCAGCTTAGACTGGCCATCCTCCATCACAACCCTCTCCAGCGTCCTCCCAACTCGGGCTTTGCTCACTTGGTCTTTCTCTGAAACATCTCCTCTCCCCTCCCTGCTGTGGATGGCGGGGATGTGAGGAAACCACAAGAACCCAGATGGGGAGGCAAGAGTGTGCACTGGGAGAATAGGAGACTCAGAGAGAGGGGAACTGAAATCATAGGGAGGGAAGCAGTGGAGGAGAGATAGCTTCATACTATGTCAGACTCTTTTTCATGGGCCAGAGGGAGCTATTGAAGGTTGTAAGCGTAGGACTCTTTGGATCAGAATTATAGGACACTTGAAATGTACAATATTATATGTCACTATACTTGCAATTTCAAAAACAAAGAAAAATAGATCAGATCTGTGGTTACTGGAGGTGGGGCCGGTGGGGGGAGGGTAATTGGGAGAAAGTGGTCAAAACGTACAAATTTCCAGTTATAAGATAAACAGGTAGTAAACAAGAGGGCTGGAATGTACAATGTGGTGACTGTAGTGATATATTTAGAAGTTAAGAGAGTAGAGCCTAAGAGTTATCATCATAAGGAATGCTTTTCTCTTTTTGTAGCTGTATGAGATGGTGGGTGTTAACTAAACGGCGGTGATCATTTCACAATAGATGTAAATCAAACTGTTTTGTTGTACACCTTAAGCCCATACAGTGCTGGGTGCCAATTATATCCCAATAAAACAGGAGAAGAAGAATTATTTATAGGAAGACTGATGTGGCAGCAGGGTATGAAGTCAGCTGTCACCTAGATTCTTACAAAGACGTCCTTACTGGTCTTCCTGACCATGGAAACCCATCCGTCTCTTCTTAAAATTTGTTTTTTAATGTTTATTTGTTTTTGATAGACAGAGAGAGACAGAGTTGAGCGGGGAAGGGGTGGAGAGAGAGGGAGACGCAGAATGCAAAGCAACCTCCAGGCTCTGAGCTGTCAGCACAGAGCCCGATGCGGGGCTCAAACTTACAGACCGTGAGATCATGACCTGAGCCGAAGTTGGACGCTCAACCCACTGAGCCACCCAGGCGCCCACATCCGTCTCTTCTTAATACTGCAGCTGGAATGGGGCTCTTAAAGCCTAAATCTGATGAGTGTCACTCGCTGAGCTCATCCCAGTGGATTCCCGTGTCAGCACTCCATCTGACTCACCATTACCCATCACTTCATCTCCCATGTCCCCCACTTGCTAGGCACCAGCAATACTGGCTTCCTTGCTACTCCTCAGATGTGCCAGGTTTTTGCGTGTGCTCTGCCCTCTCTCTGAAGTGCCCCTCCCCCCAGACATCCACGTGACTCACACACTGACCTCCTTCAGACTTTGACCCAAATGCCATCTTCTTTCAAGGCTTCAACTGACCACCTGTCTGTGTCCCGATAGGGTAGGATATTCAGTAACTGAGTCATGGGTCGCCTGACCATCACAGTGACTCAAAGATCCAGGCTGATGAGACAATGATCTCACGTGGTGCAGGTGGCCAATCCAGGGGGTAAAGGGAGCGACTGAGCTCTAGAAAAGTCTCAGGCCAGCAATAAAATCCTTGGTCTGGAAGTCCTGCATGCCACACTCATTGTCAACTCATTGTCCAACTACCCATAAAGAGTCCCAGGAAATATAGTACTACGACGTACCTAGAAGGGCTAATGGGCAGTATTTGCCTAACGGCAGTAATGACCGCACTACTTGCCACCCACCCCGACATTCCTCTCCTTCTTACCTGCATTATTTTTCTTCACATCATTTGTTACTATCTCATATGTTTGTGCATTTAACAGCGTTATGGAGGGGTAGGTTGCATAGGATAAAATTCACCCATTCTAAGTATACAATTCAATGATTTTTAGTATATTTGTAGAGTTGTACAATCATCACCATGACCGAATTTTGGGACATCTCTATCACCCAAAAAAGTTCCCTTGGGCACATTTGCAAATAATCCTTACTCCTGCCCCAGCCCAAGGGAACCATTGCTCTGCCTTTTGTCTTTATAAATTTGCCTTTTTGAGACACTTTATGGAAATGGAATTCTATATTATGTGGTCTTCTGCATGAGGATTCCTTCACTTAGCATAAGGTTTTTGAGGTTCATTCATGTTCTTGTGTGTATCAGTGGTTTGTCCCTTCTTAGCTGAACGATACTCTGATTGTGTGGATGTACATTATTTGATTTATTGTTTGATGGCCTAGTGTAATGGCCTGTCCTGAAGAAAGTTCCATGTTACTTGAAAATAATGTACATTCCGCACCCATTGTAAAGGGTGTCCTATACATGGCAACGAGCTCACATGGGTCGATCATGTCATTCCAGCCTTCAATCTCGTTGCTGATGTCGTGTCTAGTTGTTCTCTCAGTTATTGAGACTGGGATATGGAAATCTCCAGCTCTTGTTATTCAACTGTCTGCCGTCAGTGTTTGCCTCATGTATTTTGAGGCTCTCTCAAGCGTGTATATATTTATAATTGTTACAGCTGCCTCGTGGCCTTGGTTGGACAACCAGTCCATCTCTGCACCTGTCTCTCCTTGCTCCTCACCCC